AGAGAGAGAGAGAGAGAGAGAGAGAGAGAGAGAGAGAGAGAAAGAAAGAAAGAGACTTGTTGCCTATTCCGTATACATACATCCTACGTTTCTTCATTTAACGCGCCTCTCCGCCGTCGTCCGGCCTTCATTCTCTCTCTCTCTCTCTCTCTCTCTCTCTCTCTCTCTCTCTCTCTCTCCCCCCCTCTCTCTCACCGAGATTATATCTTTAATATTTCCTACAAAGCGCTCTTGTTATTGCCCTCAATTTGGCCGTCGATAGCGGCGTCCCCTCGCCGGTCGTAGTGCGGATTACAAAGAGTAATGAAACATCCCGAATAATGAAACAGAATAAGAGAAAGAAAAAACTGCCCTCGAGTAACATAAAAGAACACGCGGCTTTCCATATTTCTTACAAAAACCCGCAAATTTAGCCTCTTCCGGCGGCGGGCTATGTGCGAAACGGCGGGAAAATGTATTACGCGAAGGAACCGCCAACAACCATCACAGCAACGTATTTAATAAAAAAATTCTCGCGCGAGTTCGCCCCCCCCCTCTCTCTCTCTCTTTTTTCTCCTTGCAACACGCACGTATATTCGCACGTGTGCCGCGACAAGGAAATAATGGGCACCGCGAGCGCACCGCGGCGGGAGCTCGCGAAAATTGTTTTTGCTTCTGCGTTGCTGCGCCGATTTTTCACGGGAATATGCCACTTTAAAGTTCGGGAAGCGTTATGAATGAACGCTCGCTAAATGAGACATCCGGGGATAGATCGTGCGCCCGCATCGCCGTCCGTACGACCCACATATTTGATGCAGGGAGCCACGCGTTAAAATCTACGCTTCAAGTGTCAAGTAATAATTGAGGGCCCCGAGATGCGTGTCAGCGAAAGTCGGACGAGGTTCTCAGTCCTTGGTATTTGCAGCACCGCTAAGAAAAATTGAGAAAAATTGAAGAAATTCTCGACAAAGAGAACGACGTGTACCCAAATCACACGTCAAAGAAACTTGTCTCCCGGAAACAGGTCGATCGTTAGCATAAAAATAATGTCTAAAGTGTCACGAACGGAGCTCGTTCTCGTGTTACCGTTAAAATTAGGAGGGAATCGTGATTTTGCCAGGTCGTGTTCAGACTTCCCGACGCGATGATGAGATCATTTCTTATCAGTGTCGACGTGGTGACTTGAAAGAATAGCAGCGCCTGCATACTGCCGTCTCATGCAGAAAAGATCAGTGCTCAAGAGTTTACTATCCAGCTGGAGTGTACTTCGGCATGTAAATTTCACGTGCAGGTACTCGGTGCAAAGAGAAAAAGAGAGAGAGAAAGAGAGAGAGAGAGAAAGAGAGAGAGAGAGAGAGGCGAACAGGGGGAGGACAGAAAGAGAGGCAAAGCGTGCAAATAAAAGCGCCCTAAGCGATATACGACACCCGCGTGAATAGCGTAGTCATCGCGGGGAGCTTAATCGCCGGGTTTTACATCAAAAACGCTCGACAGCTTTAATAGCAGCGATACGATCCCGGTCGCCCGTGTAACGAAATAATGTCGCGGTTAATCAGATTTTCGCGAGTTATTAACGGCCGAGAGGCGCAAGAGACGGTGACACTCTGTGTGTGTGTGTGTGTGTGTGTGTGTGTGTGTATACGTGTGCGTTAAGGGGACTATGAATATTAAGCGGGAGAGATTGCAAATCTTCATGAGATTCTGCAATTTCCGCCGCTTTGATGATTACCGAGGCGCTTGTCGCCTCTGGAAAATCGCCGAATAATGACTTGATCGCCGAAGAGCGCGTAATCGCGCGCTCGATTATACGCGTTCATAATCTCATATGCATAATTAGCGACTACCTTGCTAATAACGCGACTCACCGTCACTGTTACCGTCACCATCCTCGTCGTCGTCGTCCCCGAGCTCGAAATTCGTCCGGCGGATGGAAGGAGCGACTTGTTAAAAATGCGATTGGAGTTTGTGCGAGGTTGCGATTTTTCTCAGGACGAGCGAGCAAGCGAGCGAGCGAGGTCGCGTAAGCGAAGCGCGCGCTACGTCGAAAAATCCGTCGCAACAATTTTATGCAAGAGTTCGCAAACTCCGGGAACACTGAGGCACTCGCCCAAGTTTTCCTCGTTCGCTTACAAAACTACCATATTTGGGTTAGCGACGCTTCGCCGGTTACGCCGTGAGTTATTTATAAACCGTTCTCAGGCAATATTTCCCGTGTATGTGTGTATATATAGATATTCCTTTTTTAGAGCTTATCGGAGAACACTGAGGATTTTAATATGTGTGTGTGTGTATATATATATAGCTCAAGAATTAAATATATCCCGCGGTCCAAATCGCGTCGTGAGAAACGATTGTCCCTTCGTCTCACTCTCGATCTTTCTTTTCCACGCAGATCCGATCTTCTGGGCGAAACCCGAGGAGAAGCCGCAGAACTGTCTGCACGAGGGCGTCCCGAGAAAACTCGGCGAGGAATGGAAGCAGAGCGACTGCATCACTTGCACCTGCAACGAGGACGGCGCGGCGTCCTGCCACACCACCATGTGCAAGTCCTGTGAGAACGCGATACCGCCTGATCCTGGCGAGTGCTGTCCCCATTGCCCGTCGCCGACCAACACGACGGTCTTCGGCCGCTACGACGAGTCCTGCAAGACGTCCTTAGACGACTGCAAGATGAAATGTTACCACGGCTTCCGCACGGACAGAAATAACTGCCCGATCTGCGAGTGCGCCGACGATCTGGTGAGAATGCTGATTACAAATCAGTCGTAGACTGTTGGGTCTTATTTCATAGCGGAGCTCTCGGCGGTCAAATATATCTATAATATATGAGCTATATATAAGGCGAGTCAACAACTCGGATATCTTCGAAATAAAGGTAATTTTCCAAGTTATTCGAAGAAAAGTTTCTTCAGAGGTGGTTATGCTTTCTTCTGACAGGCTTAGCTTCTCAAAGATTTTTGTACGTCACATTTGTGTTTTACTTCGAAGATATTCGATAGTTATTGACTTACCCTGTATACACGACTGACTATTAATTATTGGCATTTTAATTCTCGGTATATCATTAAAGTTGGACTCAATTTTAGTCTTTAAGTTCCTTGTTTGAACATAATTCTAACAAGTAAGGATTGTTAACAGATTCTAACTGATTGTAAGGATTGTTAACCAAACAAGATTGCTGGTGGAAGAGAATTCTAGTAACTTCAGTTGGAATTCTGGCTCGTTCATATTTTACCAGATATTTGATTAATCCAATCGAATTTTTTTCCGCACAACTTTTACTCTTTCAAAACAAAAACATTTGCTTATTTCCTTCTTCAATGGGATGAATAAATCTTTTAATCCGATCACAATATCACGATGGTCTTTGATTTAACCTAGGGTTAAATATCTTCGGAATCAAGAAAGTTGGAGTTCTCTGCTGCAAACTTTTGTTGCAGAAATTGTTCTCCAATTCCTATAGTTTCCGAGAGGTATTCAAGATACTAATAGTTATCAGTTTAACTCGTTCGCCGGAAACGTAGCGCGATAAATCGGAAAACAAGGGAGGTCGTAACTAGGTGGGTCGAGCTGACGTAAATACGCGTTGCAGAAATAATCGGCTTATTTAGTTGAACTTTTGAAGCGTGTTCCGCGTTAATAGCATATCATACAGACGTACAATGCTCGAGATATTAGAACGTGAACGCGCAGTGGAACGCGACCGACAATGCGACACGGCAAACAAGATCCGCCCGTTCTGACTGACGATTACCCGCGGCGACAATGCGGTCTCCCAGCCTCGTAATGTCTCCTCATACACCGCGAAACGTTTGCTATCAACCCTAGCCGGAGAACGCGAGTGTCGCAAGGCGTGACTTGACGCCAGGGAGGAGACCGACGAGCAGTTTCTCTTATCTGAAACATGTTTGTAGCCTGGAGAAGATTTCTTCGCGGAACTATCGTGCCCGACCAAGTTCCGGGATAAGAGAGATTCCGGCGGTCTCTTCCCGGCCACGTGGCCGGGCTTCTATCTCATAAATGTGGTGGTGAACCTTCTCTCTCTTCCTCTCGTCTCCAGGAGGTCGAGTCGGATGCGCTGCCCGAGGATTATAAAGTTTGCCCAGAGTTGCCACATTGTGAACTCAATTGCGACCTCGTCAAGGACGAAGACGGCTGCTCAGTGTGCGCGTGTCAAACGGCGCCGCGTTATCCGACGAACGATACCGCTCTGACGAACAACGACAAGCGGATCTGTCCCGAGGTCAAGTGCGACCTCCACTGCGAACGAGGCCTCGTCATGGATGAGAACGACTGCACCTTCTGCGAGTGCAAGCCGCCAACCGCCGGTTGCCCGCCGCTCGTCGAATGCAGGAAGCGCTGTAGCTTCGGCTACAAGACCAACAAGCGCGGCTGTCCTGTAAGTGTCTTGCTTCGCCCGATTTGCATTTAAGTTTCGTGTGAACAGATGTAACGTATATTGAGTTGAAAGGGGAGTTGAAATCGATTCTTGCCGAACCTGGAGTAGTTCTTCGCTCAGAAATTTCAATAATTCTAAAAGGACGGAATTGTGAAGCTGCCTGAAAGATGGCAAAATTCACAGAAAAAATGGGCAATACATAATTGAGTCAAGTTGCCTCTTCACACAGATCTCCACGTTTCTGAGCTGAACGAATTTACGTTGCAACTCGATGTATTCAGTCATTGAGAGATCTCACGCGACGAGGTATCTATGAATCTGTGTCCCTCTCCTTCGCAGATTTGCCGCTGTCGCGCCTCGTGCATGGACCATTTGAACGGGACCCATGCAGAGGGATCAACCTGGCATCCGAACAGCTGCACCACGTGCACTTGTGAGACCGGCGGCAGGCTCAATTGCAAGGAGACCATCTGCTCGGTCGCCTGTAGTAATCCATTGCCGCCGAAACCAGGCACTTGTTGCCCCGTATGCCCGATCACGGTGAGTTCCATACAATCGATCTTTGATACATCTCGAATACCCACGATATCAATATATTAGCGTTGAATTATATCTTCCTCCGAAGCAGATGTGGCTTGTCTACATTATCTTAATTAGAAATCGATTGATTTCGCGCGAAGACCATCTAATATTAATTAAACGATTAAAGGATCAAATTAAACGATTAAAGAATCAAATTAATTTATCTTATTAAAGGAATAAGCAAATATTTTCTCTTTATTCTTTGCTTTTTATTCTAAGAAGGAATGCAAATTTCAAAATATCACTGTTTATAAGTTAGAATCGTTAAAAAAGCGGTTTAGAAAAAGTAACTTAGAACGGTTAAAAAGTGGAAAACTGTAAATTATCATAATAAGAAATCGACTAATACGCGCGAAGACCATTTAGTAGTTGAAAGAATAGTTTGTCATATTAAAGAAATAAATAAATTTTATATTCTTTTTTTTTATTCTAAGAAGAAACACAAGTTTTAGAATATCTCTACTTATAAGTTAAAACTATTAATCCCCCCTCTTAAAAAAAGCGTCGTAAAAATTAAAATTGGATTCGACACACACGATCTTCTTTCAAGGATCAATCGTCACACATTGAGAAATACAATTAAAGCTATATTCGAGGACAAATTTTTATCCAAAGATCTCAGTTGCGCCGCTAATTCAAATCTATTCGCTCGAGATACTGAATCTATTGAACCGTATCACGTCTCCAGGCGATTGCCGACTGAGTTTTTCGGCAGAACGCAATTGCTGAATCAAACTGAATCTGAAAACAGCTCGAATTTAATAGATAGCGTCCTGTCGAAGAAAGAGAACGATTAAACAACATTAACAACATTAACGCGTTGTTGCAGACCATGAAGGAGAACGAGACGATCCCAACCAGCCGAGGCTGGGGCACCGTGCCAATCACCCTGATCGTCGTGCTCGCGATGCTGTGCCTGTTGCTGATCGTCCACATCGTGCGCAGTCGATTCCGCGGCCGTCTGTCGCCTTCGGAAGCGGCGTACGCATCGTACCCGCCGCAGTATTACAAGTGTGTGCCCGTGTACGACACTCCAGTGCATCGGAACGAGAAGATCGTACCTCTGTAAAAGACTGTGTTGGGGACCCCACAGAGAGAGAGAGAGAGAGAAAGAGAGAGAGAGAGAGAGAGAGAGAGAGAGAGAGAGAGAGAGAGAGAGAGAGAGAGAGAGAGAGAGA